TGGGGCAGATCCTGCCCTTGATTTTCAGGCCCCCTCCCCAGCGTGCTTGGTCCTGTCCCCTTGCAGGCTGACAGCAGCTGGCGTCGGGAGAGGATTCTCCACGTGCCCCTGTGCCAGGAGGACTGCGAGCAGTGGTGGGAGGACTGCAGGGAGGCCGTCACCTGCAAGGAGAACTGGCACAAGGGCTGGAACTGGGCAACAGGTTGGTGGGCTGTGGGGAGCCTCTCCTCGCTCCCCCAGGCAGGTCACTGGCAGTGTCACTGCTGCCAGGACCCCAAATCACCCTCACATTCCAGGCCTGCCAACTAGAAGGTGGCCAAGCCACCCCCGTCAGCCCCAGTGTGGCGAGGGGCTGGTGAAGGGCACCAGGGGAGGGGTGTCCCAGTGCTCGTGCTGACCTCTCCTCCTGTGGTGCTCTGTCCCCAGGAAGGAACCGCTGTCCCTGGGGCTCCCTGTGCAGACCCTTCAGCGAGGTCTTCCCCCGGCCCAGAGACCTGTGTGAGAAGATCTGGTCCCACTCGTACAGATACACCACGGCACGCCGGGGCAGCGGCCGCTGCGTCCAGATGTGGTTTGACCCTGCCCAGGGGAACCCCAACGTGGCTGTGGCCAAGTACTACTCTTGGAGAAAGAAATCCTCCCCTGCTGGGCTGGAGGACGTGGCTCCTGAGAGTGACCACGCTGTGTGTGCTCTGCCGTGGTCTGTCCTGGTCCTGCTGCCCCTGGCCCTCGTGCTGCTGCCTGAGGCAGCCAGGGGCTGTGGATCCCGTGGATGGGGGTCCCTGTGACTCTTTCCTAAAGGGACATGGCCTGGACTGCTCCGAGGAGCTGGCACAGCTAACTTGGGTCTGCCTGTCCCAGCTGGTCACACACCCCAGTGTGAGCAGCTTCCAGCTGACCAGGGCAGGGATTTCCTTGCCATCCTGGGAAAGGCAAAGCAATCTCTGCCCTGATGTAGGAGCTCCTGCACAGCTGTTCCCACCCCACGGCTGTGCTGGGCTAGCTGAGCTCTGGTGTCAGGTCCTTTGGGCTGTGGGGACTCCCTGAAGGGTGGGGTTGATAATAAAGTTGTGCTCTGGACCAGCCTCGCTGTACTGATGTGAAATTCTGCTGAGGAGAGGGCAGTGCCCTGGGGGGGAGGGAAGGGTCGGGTCTGGGGGGTGTGGGATCTGTAAATGTAGGAGCTTGTCCGGGGGGGGTAGGAAAGGTCATAAAATAACAAATGGTTTGGCTTGGAAGAGATGTCAAAGCCCATCCAGTGCC